AAAAGATTAGTCCACGTAACTAACTGAACAGCAATAAATTGTGGTTTTTGATGTATGATCCAATATTTGTATTAAAAAATGCCACACTGCATTTTAAGATAATGTGGAATATAATATGTCAGCTTTATAAAAATTCTTCATGTAATGAAAATATTGACAAATTTGACATGATTAGCAATATTAAATGCCATCCAAAATTAAGCGACAAAAACGCATGCGCAAATTGTTTTTTGGTCTGGAATTTTATGAAAATCGGCAACTTTATTTTAAATGTCATTAACCAAAACCGCCATTTTGTTGATTTATTCCTAATTACTAAGTCATATACAAATTAAAAAGTATATATTAAAAAGTCCCTAATAATTTTTTAGCAAATTTTTAACACTATTATAATTTAAAAGCGTTTAAATTATAGATTAAGAGCGTTTTCAAATCCTAAGTGTAATTATGTCGTTATTTTTCTTTTTAGTTATTTTTGAACATAATTCTCCTATTCTACGGAATTTTGTACATAATTATCCTACGGAATTTTGTACATAATTATCCTATCCTACGGAAGGTTTTGTTGATTACAAAAATGTATAAAAATTATAAATAGCACGTAAAATAACAGAGTTCTTAAAAGTAAAGATCGTTGTCGCTTTTACAATTATTAAAGTATAATGTTAATTATCAAAATAATTTTAAAGTAGGACTAAATCCTGGACAAAACTAGCATTTTTGATTCATATTTTAAGGGAGACAATTTGTATTGGTTAACGTGTGCTTACTACATAACTTATATAAAATCAACATTGTTACCTGGGCGAGTAAAAGTTCATCGTCCAAGTGTACATTCATCAAATCATCTTTGAAAAGTAAAACTAAGGTAAAATATTTATTGTTTAAGTTAATTAGTTTGGAACCATTACTCTTTATTACTTATATATCTGATTTTATCATTTATTTGATTCAGACAACAAGTACAAAATGAGGTCCATATAAATAAACAAAAAAATATATATAAAAAAAAAAATAGAATTAAATAAAAAATTCCGATCCTCGAAATAAAAATGATTCTTGAAACAAGCCATTTTTTTTAATTTATTCTAACTGTACTGCTTTATCAGACCACTCTACTTTCCTTTTAGAAGCCATATTTAATTCTGCTTTGCGCATTTAAATAAAGCGCGGGTCTGAAACAGAAGGCCTTAAAATTCTAACACCCTACATACATTATGCGAGTCCTTCTGTTGTAGGCCTTCTAAATTTGAAAAATGACCCCATAGCGGCAACCGAAGGCCTTCGGTCAATATTTGTGAACAGCACGCCGACAAACAGAAGGCCTTACTTTTTACCTATGTCACCCCTCTTCTACTAATATTAAAGAACCAAGAATAAGTTTAAATAAACTTTGTCTAATATCGAACTTTTAAATTTTGAAAGATATTAGCACAGAATGTAACGACACTAATAAAAAAACAACTGAAGATATGAAAATAAAACTAAAATATTTACCACATGGATTAAACTTATAAGCAGTGTAATAGGTAGTGCTTTTATTGTATGGCTTCCACGCGAAATACTTATGATAAAAAGCGACCAAGGCTATTACCTATACGTAGATAAACGCTACAGATTATACATAGTAATGCAAACAAGTTCATAAATTGATGGGTGATAAAATCTGTATAGTTTGGCTACAGTTAATTGCAAAGAAAATTTAAATGTAAATACATTTATAAATTAGTACTAAAATCCGTTATTCTTGTGCATCGTTAATACTTATTTATTCGAATTATATGACTTTATTATATTCACAATTTTTTTGGAATCTAGTAACATTCTAAATTGTTTTAAAAAATCAACACTTTAGAATTTGCGTTCTAGGTTCTCTTATTCTGATAATCACGAAATGGTTTGATTAAGTTCAAACTGTGTCTCTTTAAAACTGAAGCTTAAAATAATATTTCCTTAAATTAAGTTTTTTCCTTATTATTTATAGTAGTTATCCGGATTATTTTATTTTTTTCGGAATGATACAGGAGACCGGATAATATACAAATCTGGCCAGATACACTATCTGGTAGACTTCATTTTTTAAAGATTCACTGACTATGTTACTTTCATAAAATTTCGTTATTTACAGCTAATACTTATTGCAATAATATTGATATTTATATTTTGATAAATGGTCGCCTTACTAGTAGATCTTAGGCTTATCATAAATCGTCGCCTTACTGATTAATCTCAAATATTAGGTTAAGTAGGAGTCAAAAGGCCGGCGCGAAGTGGAATAGGAGCATAACACATTCCCCCCCCCCCCCCTCATAATGTTTTTTTCGTTCATTTTGTCGGCAAATCTGACCCCTACTCGCGCTGGCTCTGTATAAATACATGCAGTCAGTCACAAAAGTTTTCGTTCACTTTACAATTTAGAAAAAATTGCTAATCTATACAAAATAGAAAAGCTCTCGCTACTACTTAATAAAATTGCTGAATGATTTTAGATTAACTGTATGTGAAATAAGCTTTTTACATTATAATCTTGCTTAAGTTTTTTTGATATTACCTAATTCATTAAAGTCTATCAAAAAAAACATCACAAAACATCACAAACACCTGTGATTCCATTTGCATAGTAAAAGAAACCATCTGACAAACATTGAAACCTTTAAAAGTAATCATTAAATTTACTAAAAATAATAATTTTCAACAACTTAATTTTAATTTTTAATTTGAATCAAATTTTATAATTGAAATCATTAAATACTCTGAAACCAATTTTTAATTATATAATTTTTTTTTTTTGAATAATAATTTTTCAGAAGCATTTCGGTTAAAGAGAATAACTTTACTTTACTCCTAAATCATTTTTTTATTACTGCTCAACTTGTACTGCATACAGAATATACAGTGTATAGTAGGACGCTGCACAGTGGGCCAGAATTCACTTTTACTGGACAAAATTTATAACTAATTTAATATCAGGGCTATATTTACTAAAACTAAAGTGAGTACTAATATGATACCTACGCTTTTTATAAAGGTAACTTTTTTTTATTTAAAAACACAATGTTTGTATTTAAAGACACAAAAAAAAGTCCTAATGTAAATATAAATTGAAGAACCGCCATAAAAACACATTGACTAAATGTAAATTAAAAATAACACGAACAACTCTATCAAACCCTTTTATTAATTTTTTCACCTTTAAAATGCTATATTTGGGGGCTTTCAAATGATTTTTTTTTTGTTTTTTTTTGTTTTTTATTACATTTTAAACAACATTCCGTTATAAATATACAAATTAAAAAATAAAATATAGAAGTTACAAGAAAATAACAAAAAAGAAAAATCGTAAATAAGAAATAAAAGAACGCGCGGACTCCTAGAAGACCGTAAGGTCTTGTCGTCGAGAACCGCTAAAATGAACGTGATACAAACAAGTTAAAAATATTCAGAAAACTCGTTATAAATATAAAGATCAGTTATATAAATACTATATAAGTTAATAAACGTATAAATTGTCGTATATATTGATACATATTCTTGGTATATATATAAACTATAAAATAATAATAGTATTTTGATAAGTGGAGGTAAAACGGGAAAACTAATAAAAAATTATTAAAAGTAAATTGATAGATCATCAATTGTAAAAATTATATCTTTTAACTTTCGTTTAAAAGAGTTGTAGTTACATTGTTAGATAAAATCTTGAGAAAAGTTTTTTAAGACAATTTTGTTCCATAAGAATGGTCCGCGAGAACTAATGCAGAATTTGCTCAAGTTAGTTTGAAAAAATGGCTGCTTAATAAAATTGTTATTGCGTAAGAAGTATTTATTTTTATCTTTTAACATATGCAAATTATGGAAAGAAACTGGTGAAGAATTAGTTTTACATTTGAACATAAAACAAAGAGTATTATAAACATTGAGTTGATATACATTTAAGGCGTTCATTTTTTTTAATAGAGGCTTTGCATGAGTAAGACGGTCACTAAAATGTATCAAACGTGCTGCATGCTTCTGATGACGATAAAGAGGTTCAAGTTTGCTTTTATTGGTGCAAGCCCATGCAATGTTTGCATAACTTATATGGCTATGAATAAAAGAGAAATATAATTAAGTTAAAATTTTTTTATTTAAAAAGTTTCTTGCTTTATATAAAATTCCTAAACTGTTTGAAGTTTTGTTATATAAATTTTAAATATGATTTTTCCACGAAAGATTATAATCGATATAAACACCTAAGAATTTTGTAACGTTTACTCTAATTATTTCGATGTTATCAATGAAAAGGGATGGCATTTCATAAGGCAGTAGTTTTTTCTTAGAGGGCGGGTGAAAGAGAGTCCAGTTTCTTTTTTGAATATTAGGCGATAATTTATTTAATTTAAACCAGTAAGAAATCTTGTTTAATTCTACATTCATAAGTTGAAACTGAGTAGTGATGATAGTATGAGATAAGAATAAGTTTGTATCGTCTGCAAACATGATTGTTTTTAATCTGGATACTTTATAGTTTTTTATCTATGATCCAATATTTGTATTAAAAAATGCCAGACTGCATTTTAAGATAATGTGGAATATAATTTGTCAGCTTTATAAAAATTCTTCATGTAATGAAAATATTGACAAATTCGACATGATTAGCATTATTAAATACCATCCAAAATTAAGCGACAAAAACGCATGCGCAAACTGTTTTTTTATGAAAATCGGCAACCTTATTTTGAATGTCATTAACCAAAACCGCCATTTTGTTGATTTATTCCTAATTACTAGCTAATTTTTTAACACTATTATAATTTAAAAGCTTTTAAATTATAATTTAAGAGCGTTTACAAATCCTAAGTGTAATTATGTCGTTATTTTTCTTTATATCTATTTTTGTACATAATTATCCCAAGGAAGGTTTTGTTGATTACGAAAAATGTATAAAAATTATAAATAGTACGTAAAATAACAGAGTTCTTAAAAGTAAAGATTGTTTCCTTTTTACAATTATTAAAGTATAATGTTAATTATCAAAATAACTTTAGAGTAGGACAAAATCCTGGACTTTACTAGCATTTTTGATGCATATTTTAAGGGAGACAATTTGTATTGGTTAACGTGTGCTTACTACATAACTTATATAAAATCAACATTGTAACCTGGGCTAGTAAAAGCTGATTGTCCAAGTGTACATTCATCAAATCTTCTTTGAAAAAGTAAAACTAAGGTAAAATTTTTATTGTTTTAGTTAATTAATTTGGAACCATTACTCTTTCTTACTTATATATCTGATTTTATCATTTATTTGATTCAGACAACAAGTACAAAATGATGTCCATATAAATAAACAAGAGTATATTAAAAAAAAAAAGACTTAAATAGTAAATTCCGATCCTCGAAATAAAAATGATTCCTGAAACAAGTCATTTTCTATAAATTACATAAGTATGCTTTTTTTATAATAAATATAGCTTTTAATAGGATAATAAACCAAAACATTCAGATCTAGCTTTCTCTGAATTATTTCAATTGTCTTAAGGCAACACATTTCTGAAAATAGAAAAGATCAATCAATTCTTTAATGAGCGGCAAACGATTTAGTTATTTTTTATTTTGTTTACATTACTAGAATCAATTTTTAAGAATTTTCTAATTTACTCTATTTACTTAAAAAACATTTTAAAGATTGAAATATATTTCATTTATTATGTTTAATTGTTTTACTAATAAATATATGTTTAAATTTTTGTTCTTAAAATCATATTTTAATTCTCACCCAGCGTTGCTATGGCACGTTATTGGGAATCACTTTTTGTTAGTCGGAAGTAAATTTTTACTGCTATTATGTAAGATTTTTATACAAGAGTGGCTTGAAGTTTCTTTGGCTTATAGTGCACCCTCAGATCAAATATTAAGTTTATTACTTTCTACCTTCATATCTAATTAAATGCAATTTAGCACCAAAAGAAAGAAAGAGCTTTTGGATATCGGCGTGAAAAGGGTTTAAGAGGGTAATCTTTTGTACGCTCTACACCCTTCACACCATGGGTAGGGTGGGTTAAAACTTAAATATTATTTTTTTGTAATAATAAATAGTTTATATAATATAAATAAAACACAAATTTTTCATACTGCATAAAATATTATACAACAGGGCATTTCCATTTCTGTGCGTGATTTTTTATTTTTCTTTGTTTTAGCAATTAAAAGCTGGGACGTTATGCAATATGCATACTGTTTTGATTTTCTTATTGAACAATTATAACTAAAGTATTTTTATCATGCTTTAGGCTATCTGAATAAATTAAATATACATATTTTTACAATTTTCTTTTTTTGAGTAATAATATTGCTACATTTTAAAAAATATGCAATAATTTTCAAAATGCCATACTCTAGCTAGAAATAATTGATGACTGCCGTTTCTCAACGAAAATATATTAAATATGAGTCGCTGAAGTATAATATTTAACTTGAAATACTCACTAGCAATTTATTTTCTCAAAAATAACTACATGAAATTGACAAATTTGCAACATTCGTGCGTGACTTCCCTGCGTGATCATTCATAAACTGCTTTTAAAGGATTTCTGTGACTCTATGATTCATAGTGCAATCCTGTAACTTTTTGGAAATCTTTACTAATGTTTAAATTGATCAATTGAATTGATCGAATTTTAATGACATGCAGCGCGTCGAGTTTTTAAATTAAATAATAGCCCGTAAATATCATACTGCTTTTGATTTAACCGTCTTCAAATAAGTAAAAGCAAAGTTTAAATTTTTTATGTTGAGTTTAAAAATAATATGTTTATCTTAATATTTATTATATTTAAGACATTATTACTATAATTTACTATATTACTATAACAAACTTGTTTTCTTGCTGTTTTTAATATTGATATAAATAGTTACATAAATGTCATAAAAATATCTTTTTAGCGCTAAAAGTGGAGCTTATGCGCAAAACTTAGCATATTACATTTTGTTAAGTAAAAAAATTTAGATAACTTTTATAAACAGGTAATGCAATTCAATGTAATCTAACAAGGTTTTCGACAGAAAAAAACCTAATAAAACTTCCAGTCTATCTAATTAATGCGCAGTATTTAATTTAAACTATTTCAATTAAATTAAAAAGATCTAAGATGATGAAAATTCTGCACATAAAGGAAAAAAACTACAACTTCCTTAGCCTAAAATACAATAAACTGGGAAAACATAACATATATTTTGATTGGATAATTGAGTTCCCTAAAACTCAGATAAGCCAGTATATAGTCTAAGAAAACCCATCTGCAGTACTTTTTTATCTGGGTATTTAAAGAACTCTCTTTTTCCTGTGTTCCTTTTAACTAAACAAATATGAATATATGTAAATATTTGTGAAAATTGTTTGAGAAAATTTTATTTCAAAACTTTGATCAGACGACGTCCGACCAAAATAACTTTTGGTCGGATATTTTACATTATAATTATAATCAATAAAAAATTAAATTAACCTCTGCTAAATGCTCTCCAGCAGCAAAATAAATAAAACATATATCTCTATTAGAGCTCATTTTACAACTTGTCATATATATATATATATATATATATATATATATATATATATATATATATATATATATATATATATATATATATATATATATATATATATATATATATATATATATATATATATATATATATATATATATAAATATATATATATATATATATATATATATATATATATATATATATATATATATATATATATATATAAATATATATATATATATATATATATATATATATATATATATATATAAATATATATTTATATATATATATATATATATATGTATATATATATATATATATATATATATATATATATATATATATATTATATATATATATATATATATATATATATATATATATATATATATATATATATATTAGACTTTTTTTTCTCTGTAATATTATATAATGAAATTAAATAGTTTTTAAATATATTTAAAGTTGTTAAAACAAAAAATGCAAATAAGTAAGATTAAGTAAAATATTTTGTGAAGATTTAAAGTAATATTTAAAGTAAGGAATGAGATTGACGTTTTGATTAGCTGCTTTTTTATTTTTTTATATTTTTCTTATAGATATAATATCTTTCTTACTAGATATATCAACTGCATATTTTAGTAAAAACCATGGAATATAACAAGACTTGACAAGGAAATGAAAAGTTGGAACAAAAGTTTCTATTCCTGCTGGGATACATAAGGTTTACTTTGGTAGCACATTTCTTAGTGGAGATTAAATTAACATCAGCCCAAAAACCATATCCAAGAAAATTGTCAAAGTCATTGCATTGTTGAAACCATCTAATAGAGAAATAAAAGAAATTGAATACAAGCTAGGTGTAGAAACAAGACAAAAAATAAGGAGTGAAAGCAAGTGATCAGTGTTGTCTTAAAAATGTCACAAAGTTACTGTTTTAGTAAGAGACATGCACAAATTGTGAGCTTTAATTCATTTTAAGCCAAGCCATTCAGTGTGTTTTGCATTAAAGTCTCCAATAACAACTGTTTTGTTGTTTCGTGTAGCTGTTTAAAAAAGCAAGTTAATATGCCTTAAAAATATGTTTTCTTATCTGCATAAATGGGTAATAATTTTATTATAACTGTTCAAACTGATATAAACATTTCATTATTTGTGTTTTTATTTTTACTTTAAGTATCATGTTAAGTAAGAGCTATTACTAAAAGTATTAACGTATTAAGTTTATTGCTTGCACATTAAATTATAACTTAACCTATAAACAGTATTAAATACATTACTTGCACATTAAATTTTAACTTAACCTATAAATAACAATGAAATATATTACTTGCACATTACATTATAACTTAACCTATAAATAGGAACTTAAACTATAAATAATAACTTAAACCGTAAACTATAACAGCAACATAAGCTATTTAAACACTGCCAAACAGGAATATTATAAAATATTAAGTAAGAAAGATATTATGTTATAGCAATAATTAATTAATTTACAAAAGATACAATTTTGTACTAACGCAGCCTCTCTTAAGTGCAAAGCGGCACAGGGAAGGGGTAACAAAAAATAATTTTATTGCAATTCGATTTGCTTTGTTTATTTTATATGTGTGTATATAAGGCTTTTATCTTATTTTTTACGTAGAGAAGATCAATCAACTTCAAAAGATTTACGTGATTTCTCTTGGTGTCTCTATTTACAAGTCAAAGGTATTGGCTTATGTTTATCTAATTCATTGTATTAATACAATAAAAAAGTGGTTAGTTTTTTAATAGGCCAAGTTAAAAAAACAAAGCTTTTTAACAATCAAAGTAACAATGAAATAGAATATTTCTTAGATAAATGGACTTTTTTATAAATGGACTTTTGCTTTCTCTTACGATAGGGTTAATGATTAATTGATTATAAATGAATTCCTTTATAATAGCATAGCTTTAGACAAAAGTATTTTAAAGAGTGTAGCAATTAAATTTTCTGTAGTAAATTAAGTATATAAGTTTATGAATTAGTGATTTTTTACTTTTGAAGTTAATTTTTTTTACAAAAAAAATGGTAATAGTTTATTTATTACATTTTAATTAGTTTTTTAGATTGCTCAAAGAAAGAACGTTGATTAGAAATACAAGTTTACTTTATGTGTTGTAGGCAATGATTTTGTTTAAGGTAGCAGATCCCCTTAAAACAAAGTTGCTTAAACTAATGCTATTAATTACCAAATGCAATTACAGGGTTCCCACACCTCCTTAAAAACCTTAAATATCCTTAAAAAGTAAAAACCTACTTAAATGTCTTTAATAACCTCAAAAAAAGTTAAAATTTGACTGCTCTCCTTATTTTATCCTTATTTTTTTTTTTTATTTATCTAGAAAAATTTTTTAAAGTGAATGAATAATACTTGTTAATAAAGAAGATAATATATAGATTTTTGATAGTTTTCAAACCTATTTTTGTTATTATATATATAATAATATTTATATAAATATATATAGTAATAATAATTTATCTGTTTATATTTAAAGTTTATTAAAAAAATTAGATTTTGTTTTTAATGTAATCGTTTTCTCCTTAATTATCCTTAATTTTTCTTACAAAAAATGTCGTTCGCGACCAAATCTCCTTCAATAATAGGAAAATATCTCCTTAAATCTCCTTAAAATCCTTATTTTTAGCCTTAGTTTTAATAGTGGGAACCCTGAATTAGGTTTTATTTGATATAAATTGAACTTTTTTTTAATTGAAAATTTTGAAAAAAAATAGTAATAAAGGACTAATTAGACAATTAAGCAGCCATTTTAAAAAATTTTCAAACGTGATTACACAAGTTTTACAAATGCTGTGGACTTCAAATTTTCAGGATATGTTAGTAGTACTATTAACTAAGGTTTCTACCACTTTTGTGTAAAAATTATAAATTCTTTAAAAAATAATCAATTTTTTCAAAATTTATCAAAATAAAGTGCACAAAAAAAAAAAAATTATACTTAAAATAAAAATTGAACTTTCATTGAGGTATAAACCCTAGATAACATAACAAGGAACATTTGCTGAAAATTTTAAATCAAAATCTATAGTAGAAGTTGAGAAAACGCGTTTTAAAAAAACGAAAAGTATTAAAAAACAAAACACAAAAAAAAATGCTCCTAATGATTTTGTAATTAAAAAATAATACGTTTTTTATCATTCTAAAAAGCACCAGCAGAATATGATGCTCTTTCTTCATTTTCTTTATCTATGAATCCTTTTTTTAAAGCTCTTAGTAAATTTCTTCTGCTAATATCTGCTGTTGAAATTTTTTTTGTCATATAACCCATTTGAGTCTTATTTTTTTAAATGGTCCCTATGTCCATAAATCGACCGGTCTTTATCTGTAGTTTTTGAAAAACTTCATATATCCCACTAGCTCCATCATTAAACTGTAAAACAACAGATGCTGTAGCATCTGTTGTTTTACAGTTATTTGCTGAATTGGATACGGATAAAAAGGAAATACCATTTTATTTTACATTTGATTTTTGATAATGAAATTTTTATGTCAGCAACTCCATACCAATTAGAACCTGTTAAGATTATGAAAAAAAAGTACAAGAATACACTAAGCAATACAGTTGACAGTAGTATCAGATATGAAAATTCGTGAAAGGATTTGTGAGATCCTGATTTTGCATTAAAAGTACAATTAATTGCAACACAAGTCGGCACTATAAATTTTGATTATAAGTTTACTGTTCAATATTTTGTAACCATCAAATAAAAAACATGAAGTTTGTATAATTTTGCCCGTTTTATACAACTAATATTTAACAAAAATACGGGTAAATTATTATTAAATAACGCAATAATTAATTCATTTATTTAAGGCAATAATTCAAGATAGATGAAAACTTAAATTGTTAAAATGTCATAACACGCATTAAAAAACATATTATATTTGGTATTTCCAAATTTGTGTCGTAATTGGCATTTGTCTCTTAACATGAAAAATTAAAAATTTTTAAAAACACAATTAACAAATACAAATTTTCAAGCAATTTTTCAAGCAATTAAACTTTTATTTCTCTCATCTAAAAAAAGAACGAGTGAAGAAAAAAAATATATATTCTATACAACTCTTACTCATTCAAAGTTTAACTGCGCGAAAATTTTCTTTCTCTTTTGTTCTACTCTTTTATAAAAAGAGCGCGCGATGAAATAAAATCTTTTCTTTTTTAACTTATAATTATAGTTTGTGATAGAAATAAATCAACAATGAGCAAAGCAACGAACAGATTAATCTGGAGCTATTTTGATATTTATGAAAATAATCAACATAAACAACATTACCAACAATAATTACCAAATAAACAACACAATCTCGCATAATTTTAGGGGCATTTTTTTTTTATTGCTTAGACGTTCTAAATAATAAGTAAATTTAGTTCAAGTTAATAATTATTAACTTGAACTAAATTTACTTCTTATTTAGAACGTCTAAGCAATAAAAATAAAACGCCTTGTTTTACATTGATTATAATTAATGTAAAACAATTTTTGAGATAAAAAATATTCATAATTTATAAACATTAAATATATGGCGCAATAACAATTTATAGTAACGAACCAGCATGAAATATTTAAGGTTTTTATTATCTTTTTACATATTAAAAGTAGAAAAATTAAAAACTAAACAAATAATCAAAAAAACTTCGACTAAAAATAAACAAAAATATTTCTAGAGTTTCTTTTGTTAAAAGTCTACCGTGACGTCAAATACTAAAACTTTTATGAATTAAACGCGCTTCAAAGGAATTACCAAAGTCTGTAGATTCGACGCATAATTTGAAGAGTCAGATTAGTTCAAAAAAATGGAGAAGACGAGCTTCGGCAAAAACAACAACATTTGTTTTTCACGGTATGCATTCATTATTTATTTTTAATCAAAAAAATTTGGTTCAAACAATTTTTTTTAACATTATCTTTAATATGAACACAACATGTGTTGGGAGTTTAGGATCCCTTTAAGACATTTTTTCTAAATGAAATTGTTAATTGCTTCATTATTATTTTATGTCTGTCCATGCAAACATTTAGATAATAATTCATCGATGCTTAAGACTTGAAAAATAGGTTTTAAAATTTTATTTATTGCTAATGGAAGATTTAATTTAGCTTTGTAAATTATTTACCTGTTAGTTTTTTTTTTTGTTTTTTTTTTTGTTTTTTTTTTAATTATATTCGCTTCCAACAAGGTTGCAAGCAACCACTAATTAGTGTTGGAAGTTACTGGAAGAGAAAAGATAGAGATTGTAGAGCAAGATAACGATTGACAGACGACTTAAAATATTGCAAATTATATGAATCGGGAAAACAAGATGAAGGAAGCGAATTCAAAATAACTGATGTTCGAGGAAAAAAACTAGACAAATAAGAGTTTTTGGAGCACTTAGGAACAGTAACAGAAAAAGGATGAGACTTAATTGAATGACGAGTAACACAAGAATGAATTTTAGTAGATGGCACAAGAGACGCTAGCTCTTTAGAGCAGTGCCCATTATAGTATTTGTAGAAAAGAGAAAGAGAATTAACATTACGACGATGTGACAGAGGTTGAAGGTTGGCTGCAAGAGCAGGTCCAACTATGTTTACAATGCGTTTTTGCACCTTGTCTAAAAAAGAAAGGGCATCATTAGAAGATCCGCCCTAGGTATGGCAACAGTATTCCATACAAGGCCGGATTTGAGATTTATAGAGATAAAGAATATAATCCAGAGTAAGAAAGTCACGAGCACGATAAAGAGAAGCAACTTTAGCAGATGCTAATTTTGCAACGGATTTAATATAAGGTTTCCAAGAAAGATCTGAAGTAAGAGTTAATCCTAGAAGATGAAGGGTAGGAGACTCATCGAGTACATTACCGTTCATTAATATAGGTAGATCTAAATTATTGCGATAACGATTGGCCGGAAAAAATTGAGTTTTATCTGAATTAAAGATCACCAGCCACTGCGAGCCCCATGCTGTAGCAGAAGTGAGATCCTTTTTGAGCTCAGATGCCCCCTGCAAGCAATCAGAGGGAGTTGGCTTCTTATCGTGACAAAAATAAATGCTAGTATCATCAGCGAACAATGCCTCCTAAGATGTGAGAATATCTGGAAGATCGTTAATGTAAATTAAAAAGAGTATAAGAGCCAAGGGTTGAACCTTGGGGAACCCCTGAGGTTACAGAATAAAAAAAGAGTGCTGTCCATCAAGCACAACTTTTATACTATGATTGGAAAGAAAGGATTCAATAATCTTAAAGATGTTTCCAAATACACCATAAGAAGAAAGCTAATGGAGGAGACCAGCATGCTAAACTTTATCAAACGCTTTAGAAATGTCAAGAGCAATGGCCTTAACCTCTCCACCTTTATCTAATGTGCGATAAACGGTTATTACTGATAGCAAATTAGCTGTAGAACGAGAATATCGAAATCCATACTAATGATCAGAAAGTAGGTTATGAGATTCGAGATGAGAGATTAAGTGTTTGTTAATTAAAGATTCAAAAACCTTGCTTATGATAGGAAGAAGACTAATGGGACGGGTCAGATCGCTGTCCAGAATTTTTAAAAATAGGGATAACAGATGCTGCTTTCCAGCAGGCTGGAAAACAAGACTCTGATAAGCACTTGTTGAATAGTTTTGAAAAGATAGACGACAGCTCAGGAGAACACTTCTGCAAGACTATAAC